CCAACGCAATATGCATCTCATACATGCAGTCCCTGGGTCGCAACCGCCATGGGGGTTGCGTTTGGTCGAACAGCCCGCAGTGGCCCCGAGTGGGTTTTCGCCAGCCCCGCGGCCACCTGAATGCACCAGGGCGCCGGTATCTTCGACGACAGGCGCCTCTGCGGCGACCGGCGTGCGGTCCCGAGATTCCGCCATGGATCAATTGCGCTTTCAACCCGTCCAGGACGTGTTCGTTCAAACGCCGACATTGTCGTCCGCTGCATCGTCTTCTCGCGAGGATCTCTATGTCAAGGCCCAAGACATTCTTGAGGCCGGTTGGGAACCTTCGACCAAGCAGACCTACGCGAACGCCATCAGGCTTCACGTGCACGGTCTGGAACGCATTGTCGACGCCACCTTCCTTCCAGTAGATTCGGTTGATAAATTAATATTGCTGTTCACTGGAATGGACGGAATGTCTTGGTCTAGCACTCAGCTTAACAAGGCTGCAATTCGTGCCTGGCATATGTGTCGGGGCCTCGACTGCGTGTTCGACTCCTGCTGGGACCAGCGTGCGTACCATTTCTGGAGGGGGCTCAAAAAGAGAGCGAGACACGACAGCCACCAAAAGAAAGCAATTTCTATTGACGAGCTTCTGTCTTTCATCCGAGCCCGCCTCGCCACAGGGTCTGCCGCGGGGGCCCGGGACTGCGCGTTTGCAGTTTTCTGTTTCTTCGGCATTCGGAGAGTATCAGAAGCTTCTGCTCTCCTGGCCGCAGACGTGAAATTTGAGTCCGAATGCGCCCGGTGCTTCATCCGGCGTCAGAAAAACGACCCGGAAGGCAGAGGGCAAACGTGCGTGATCCCAAATTGTGATTTCGCTGGAATCAACCCCGCCCGCCTCATGGAAACGTGGTCGACTCTCAGGAGAGAGATGCCTCCGGAGCCGCCGGTTTTCTTCTGCACGACAACTGGCGCATCGCATAAGGCAGTGGGTCCCGATTTATGGAGAAAAACAGTTTCTCTGTTTTTCAAGGACAAAGCAACGAGCACGCACTCATTCCGCAAAGGCGGCGCACAATGGAGCTTGCACGTGGCCAAAGCGCCGCCCAGAGCGGTGCAGGACCAAGGCGGCTGGCATTCCTCATCTGTGATGCACGACGTGTATGCCGCTGCGTCGCCGGAGCTGGCGCGGCAACACTTCCTGGCCGCGGCGAAGGCCGTGGCGGACGCTCCGCCGGCCGCGTCGCATGCCATCGTGGCCACGCAGGCCGCCCCGCCGACTGGTCCTGGCAAATCGCCAAGCGCAGTTCGGCCCTCGTCGCCACTGGAGGGGCCAAAGAAGTTCCGCCGGCTGCGTGGCAAACAGAAAGCCGAGATTCCCCGATGAGGGCTCCTCGGCAGCGTCTGCCAACGAACCAGGAGCGTTTCTTGGTACGGTAGCAAAGAGGTCCCCGCCTGGTTTCTTCCTTTCGTCTCGCGTTCCCACCCTTCCATTTTCGCATGCACACACGCTAAGCGGCCATTCTGGCCCTCGCTGCGCGACCCGCCCGCCGCCCACCTTGACCGGCAGCCTCAGGGGGAGTTTGGGCTCGAAGGGGTTCCCTTGCCGCGAAGCTGGGGGGCTTCCCTGCCAGGAGGGCTGGACAGAGATCTCCCCCTGATGCTGGGGCAAAGCATCTAGGCAGGGATTGACCTACTTAGGAGGAGGGCGAAGCCTTTCGGATAAGTGTCGATCTGACGCCTGATTGCGCCAGCTGGTGCTACAGAAGCGCACGTGTCATGGCCTGGGGGTCCGCGTATGCGGGCAGTGCGGTGCGCAACCTCTTGTGATTGATCCCGCTCCGGATTGGAAGTAGCACTGGAGAAGCATGATCTGTGCAGCAGGAGGCTAGCGCTGGGTTGTCAGTGAGTGGGTGTGCAGGGGTGTGTGAGGGAGAGAGAGGGAGCGAGAGAGTGAGAGAGAGTGGGAGAGAGAGAGAGAGAGAAAGAAAGAAAGAGAGTAAATTGTCGCAGGCTCCGCATCCCAACTGATGCGCGGGTCTGCGTACTGATGCCGATATGTCTTGTGATTCGCGCGGCCGGCATCCCAACTGATGTCCGCGTCGTGTTCCTTATTGGGCACCGAGCCCGTTCTTTGCGCAAGCGGCCCACTCCCGTGCATCCCAACTGATACTCGGGGGTTGAGTCGGGCTCGGGGTGTCACGCCCCCGCGCTGCTGATGTGCTCGGCCCGCACAAACAGGTATTACTGATCATTTTTCCTCCCTCCCGAACTTCGGCGGTGCCGCCTCGTTCGGCGGCGGAAATCAGCGATTTCCCATGGAAACGGGACCCGTCGCTAATCCACGCCCTCTTGATCCTTGTTTGCGATCGCCTGATACTCGCAAATGGTTCGGTGGCAACTCATGGGAACCTCCCATACCATTCGGCTCTTGAGAATCGACGCCAATGGACGCTAAATCAACGCTGATCGACGCCAAATCGACGCTCATCGGTGCTAACCGACGCTAAATCGGCGCTATCTCATCGACTCCAAACGCTCATCGACACTGATCGACGATAAAGACGGAATCAAGAGGGTACATCAGGTTCCCATGATTTGTAACCGAAAAATTGCCTGAATCCGCCGCGGGTGGTCTGCGATCTGGTACGTCGAGGCGGATATGTGCTTTTTGGACGATTGCGAGCAAGTGCTTTGCGAGTAGGGAAAACTGCGCTCGGTGATTTAAGACGATCGAGATGCAAACAGACCGATATGAGTCGGACATCTCTGAGAATCGGCGGGCTTGAAAGACGTATCGGGCGCCGCGATCGTTTCAGAGCGGTCCAGAGATCTCGCTTTCCGAAACGCTCTGGACCGATGTATCTCGATTTGAGGCGGCCTGCCCGAGTGCTGTTCAACAGGCAGCAACGACAGGAATTCCTCCGATGGGCGCTGAGGCTCCCTGGCGGCGCCCCTGGCGCCGCCCCTGTCGCCCTCCCCTCGCCAGGGAGAGGGGTCCAGCGCCGATCCGAAAAATCCGCGCGGACCTCCAAGTTTGAATGTATATGTCATTGTTTATCCCCATCCTTCAGCGATGCATCGGCGATGCATCGGCGACGTTGGCGGTACATCCGTGACGTCGGCGCGTAGAACATCGACCTCCACATCGAGCCGCACCGGCGATGCAGCGCGATCCTCGGACCCATCTGCAGCTGGACCACGGACAGAAGAACCAATGACACGAGCATGATACCCAGGTCAAAACACACAGGACCATAAGATCACCGAGGGCACCCTTCCCTCCCCAGGGTGCACAAGAACATGCGCCAAGCACGAAGAACGCTGGGGTACCCTCCCCGAGCCGACCCCGCTCTTACAGTTCGGTCCGACCGTACTCCCAACCCAATCTGGGAGGCCTGGGGTCATGGTACTGTTCTTAGCGTGCGCGTGAACTCGGGCCCTGCGGAACCGAAGCCGTTGACACGCCAAGCAACACAGAGGCGTACACGCGAGGTAGGGTCGGGTGAAGCAGCCCTCCGATACACACGCCGAGTACCAACTACGCAGCATACACGCTAAGTGCGGAGCACTTAGCGTGTATAGACGTACCGGGGGTTCGTGTCGTGTCGACCCTGGCGTCGGTTCCTGACACCGCGGGGATCGTTCAATCTTGAACTATCGGCCGTTTCCGAAACGTCAGATCGGTCAGCATCGACCGACTCTGGGTCGCCCGCGGCGTTCGACGTTGAACGTTGGCGGCGGGGTCGCCGCGGGTCGACACGACGCGAACCTGCCGTAGAGCAAGGGAAAACTGCATGAACATAATCTTTTGGAGGTCCGCGCGGATCTCTTGGATCTGCGCTGGACCCCCTCACTGGCGCGCGGAGCGCGCCAGGCGCGGCGTCGAAGGCGCCGACAGCGGGCTCTAGCGCAAATCCAATCAATCCAGGCCGACCGTCGAAAGAATATGCTTTATGCCGCTTTTTGCTCTTGCACGCCCCGTCCCCCTTTGGGGGTTGCTAGAAGTGCCCCTGGCCCAAGGTGCCCCCAGGATCTCCAAGGAGGCCCCCACGGCCTCCAGGACAACCCTCACGAGGCCCAGAGGGCCCCAGGGGCTCCAGAACTGAGCGAAAAACTGGGGGCACTTGGCCCGGGGCTCTAAACGAAGGGTCCTGCTCGCAGGACCCTTCCGAGCAAGCCCTCCTTCGGGTGCAGGATCGTGCCGAGGGTGCTGGGTGGTGTGCACAGGTAATTAGGCCCCCGCCACGCACCGTGGCGGCGACACCAGGGCACGGCCGGACGCACACGTCGGCTGCGCCGAAGGGCGGTCCGTGAGACCTTCCGATCCCGGAGCGAAGCACGTGGCCCAGGGGCCCCCTCATCGGGCGTTGGCAGAACTGGGTTTAGTGGGACCTGGTTTAGCGATGCGTACTGGGGGGCGCCCCCCCCCGCCCGTTCCACTAACCGGAACGGCCGCCCCCCGAAAAGACACCAGCTACGGCAGACCTGGTTTATAGCGATACTGGCAAACTCAGGAGCTCCAGGGCCCTACTACGAACCGGGTCCCCCTACCTTCGGGACCGGCCAAGAGGGGGGTGTCCAAGAGGGGGGGGTGCAAATCATGACCGGCGGCACGTGCGCGGCCCAGCGGGGGGGCCAGGGACGTGATGAAACAAGAGAGGCGCCATGAAATCTGGGGAAATGTCATGGCCCACGCCACGATATCCACCCCCACATAGTCATCACCTCCCTCTTCCCAGACCCCCGACGTCATGATCTTTTCATGACGTCGACCCCCCGAGGTCTCGACCCATTCCCCGGGACCGGTTTTTCGTCCTGAGTCGTTTTTTGACGGTCCCGAGGGCCGGTAAAGGCCCCCAAAGGCAAAAAAGAATGAAAAACCTCCCGTCGTGATTTTTTCATAACTCGAGGGGCCCTGGCTATTCCCGACCATAGCACCTCCCGACTGTGCCGATCGTCCTGAGCTCCGCCCTCCGCCGGCCACCGCCCTGCCCCCGAGGCGCCCTCGCGCCGGCCTGCTGCCTCCCGCGTCCTCCAGGGCCGGGGGCGCGTCCACCACGGCGCCCGGGGCGGCGGCGCCGGGGTGCGAGCTGCGGGGGGGGGGGAGCGGATGACTCAAGGAGGAGGAGGAGGAGGAGGAGGAGGAGGAGGAGGAGGAGAGGAGGAGGAGGAGGAGAGGAGGAGGGGGGAGGAGGAGGAGGAGGGAGGGAGGGAGGGAGGGAGGGAGGGAGGGAGGGAAGGAGGAGGAGGAGGAGGAGGGGGAGGGGGGAGGAGGAATGTATGAATCGAACGCCCTGACGGGGAGAGTGCACAGCACCAAATCGTGAGCTAGACGCACGTTACACGCGATTGGCTGAAACTTCCTTTCTGCGGAGTCTCTCCATTAGAGCTGCCATCCGCAGGAGGAGGGGGTTGGCAGGATATCGACATGAGACCTACGCAGTCGTACTTTATGGCTTGCTACTTGCTATACACACACTCGCGCGTGCACGTGCGCATTAGCTCTAGCAGTGGCACGGTTGGCACCCCGCCAGTGAAGGGCCTCCTGTACCTTTTTTGGGCGTGCCCTTGGGGCGGGGCCACAAGCCCCGTGCAATTCGTCTAAGATACTGCTCTCCCTTAGCCGTCTTATGGCCACACTAGTCAGCCAGAATTCTTACCATGAGACTACTACAACCCCCACCGGAAGAATAAACATAGGTCGAACTTTTCTACATACAACAATGTTGTAACAACATGGTGTGCGACGGGTGCAGTGCCTCACCGTCCCGCCCTCGTACGATGCGCGCACACCGCGCCAGCCTGTGCAAACTGCTTGGGCCTGCACTCTTGTCGAACCACTCCAGGTCCGCGTACAAGGCTGAAAGATCACACATTATGCAACGCCACCTCGCACACACCCGCTCCAGATGGTGGTGCGATGAGGCAGTCAGTGCAGCCTGCTTGCACGCTCTCGGGCCCTTGGGTTTCGCCTCCGACCTGGTAGGGTCGAACGCCATGCAATCCAAATTGGCGCGGACCGCCCTGCGACGCACGAGAAACGCCACCGCGTCGACCCATCTACCCTGGGGCTTAGCGGTGGTTTGACACAAGACCTCGGCGGCAGCTTGGTCCGCGAAAGAATCGGCGCATTCATGTCCTGCAATCTGCCAAAGCTGGTCTAGGGTTTCACCGCCTGAGAGCTCTTCGGCCCAACGGCTGCGCAGAAACGCAGCGTGAAGCCTAAAATCACCCCGCTCACTCGCGGCCGCCCGTATGGCGAGCAAGAGGTCCGCGGTCGTGCCTCGCGGCGGCTGCCGCTGTCGACCGCGGGCCCAGCCCGTCACGAGAAGCACGCCGTCCGCGCGGTAGCGCAGGTTGCCCCCGCGTGGCTCTCAGCGCCAGGAGGAAGGCCCACAGCTCCGCCGTCGGGACGGTCTGCTCGGGCCCGGGCAGCCGCGCCACGATGCCCGCCAACGAGCGTCGGGGCGTCGCTCCCGCGCCCGGCGAAGGCGCGCACGATGGCGGCGCCGACCCCGCGCCGTCGGAGCCCGGGGTCGCCGCTGTGCCCGCCCCCCGAGCCGTCCCCGACGACGTCGCGGAAGACGTCGGGCCCGCGCGGGAGCTCGACCTCGCCCCAGCAGCCCGCGCGGCGCACGAAGCCCGCGGCGCCCTCTCGAGGCACGCGCGCGCCGCGGGTGCGCTTCTAGTCAGCTCGGGAAGGGGCCTCGTCGGGCAGCGGGCGGGGCACGGCCCGGGGGGCAGGTCCATGAAATGCCGAGGGTGCTTTTCAGATCAGCTCGGGGAGGGGCGGGCGGTGCACGGCAGAGGGGCATGCCTCGCACCGAGGATGCGTTTCTACACAACTTGGTACATGGGGATCGCCTAGCAGCGGCTGGCGCACGGCACGCTGGCACTTCTCCTACCAAGGATATTGTTTGAATCAGCTGGCGGAGGCGCCTCGTCTAGCAAAGGTTTGTTTGGGGGGGGGCTCGTCGGGCAGCAGGCGGGGCGCAGCAGAGGGGCGCACCAAGTGCCCAGGACTCTTTTTTGACCAGCTTGGGGAGGGGCCTCGTCTAGCAGCGGCTGAAGCACGGCACGGGGCACGTCTAGTACAAAGGATGATGCGTGAATCAATGTTTGGGGAAGCGCCTCGGAAGAGGGGCACGTCTAGTACCCAGGATGCTTTTAGATTCGGTCTCGTCGGGCAGCGGGAGATGCGCGGCATAGGGGCACTTCGAGTACCAAGGATGCTTCCTTCATCAACCTGAGGAGGGCCTTGTCTGGCAATGGGTGGCGCGCAGCAGAGAGGCACATCTAGCGCCAAGGATGCTTTTGTCATCGGCGAAGGCGCGCCGCTGGATGTCCCCAAGGGGGGGGGGCTTGGGACCCACCCCCGTTACCCGATCCGTCGTCGGGGAACCGACCCCCCCCCCTCCCCCCCTTTCCCGGTCCGTCGTCGGGGACCCCCCCCTCCTCCCCTTGCGAAAGGAGGGAAAGGGTTCCGACCCCCCCCCCCTCCCCCCCTTTGGCCGCCAAATTCGAACCACCCCCCGCCTCCCCCCTTTCGCCGCGGCGCCCCGGGTCTCCGGAACCCGACCCACACCACCCCCACCGCTAATCCTCACCCTTGCCCCAACCCCCAATCTTAATCCCAAACCAAAACCATAGCCCCAAACAACACTCACTACTCATTACGCACTACTCACTACCCGCAATTTATTACTCGCTACGCGCTACAAACTTCTCACTACTCACTACTGACTACTCCCGACTCACTACTAACTACCCACGACTCACTACACTACTCACTACCCCCTACTCTCTACACACTACTCACTACTCACTACAAAGTACTCACTACTCACTACCCACTACTCAATACTCACTACTCACTAAACACAACTCACAACCCACTACTCACTAATCACAGATCACTATTCACTACCCACCTAACCACGATCCGCTACTCACTACTCACACTTCTCTACTCACTGCCCACGACCCACTACTCACTACCCACTACTCGCTACTCCCTACCCCCGTCCCCCTACACAATACTCACTAGTCACTACTCGCTACCCCCAACGCCCTACTCGCTACCGGATACGCAATATTCACTACCCACTACTCACTATTCACTACGCTCCACCTACTCACTACTCACCACTTCCTACTCCCTACTCACTACTGCCAACGCACTACTCACTACTCACTGTCCAGTACTCAATACTCACTAGTCACTAAATACTACTCACTGCCCACTACTCACTACTTACTGAGCATTACGAACTACCCACTAACCCATATCCACTACTCACTATTGGGTCTTACAGTTCACTACTCACTACGCATTGCCCACAACCCAGTACTCACTATCCACTGCTCGCTACCCATTACGAAATATTCCCTACCCACTGCGCACTACTCGCGACTCACTACTCTCCACTCCCTACTCCCTACTCACTGGTCGCTAATCGCAAATCGCTACTCACTACTCACCAGTCACGACTCACGACCAACTACTCACTACTCACTCATCTCTATTCGCAACTCCCTACTCACTACCCACTACTCAATACCCACTTCTCGCTTCTCACTACTCACTACTCACTACTCACTACTCCCTACTCTCTACTCACTACTCACTACTCACTTCTCGCTACTCCCTACTCGCTACGCACTACTCCTCACTCACTACTCACTACTGGTTCTTGACGATTCCCTCCTCACTACCCACTACTCACAAAGCCCCTCTCGCTACTCACTACCAACGCTACTGGCTACTCCCTACTCGCTACTCCCTACTCGCTACTCGCTGCTCAACACTCACTACTCACTACTCTCTACTTACTGCATACTACTCACTACTCACTATTCACTACTCACTCCTCGCTATTCGCTACTGTCTACTCCCTCACCCCTACCCCCTGCGTGCTATTCACCATGCACAACTCACTACACACTGCTCACTCCTCACTACTCATAATTACTACCTCTCTACCTCCTCCTCACTACTCCTACTCACTAATCCTACTCACACTACTCTCTACTCTCTACTCACTAATACTACTCACTCTCTACTCTCTACTTCCTCCTCACTACTCCTACTCGTAATATCCACAACTCACTACTCACTAATCCTTACGCACTACTCATTAATATCACTACCCATTACCCACTACTCACTACGCACGACTCACTGCGCACTACTCACGATGAAATGCCCACTACTCACCAATCGCTACTCAAAGCACTACAGTCTCTACTCATTACCCGGGGGGGCCCTTCCCCAGCCCCCTGTTCGGCGCAAAGGGGGGGGGGTCGGACCCCCCCCCCCCCCCCCCCTCCCTGCACAGGAGGCGAGGCGGGGTGGGGGGGGTCGAAAATCTCACTCCCCCTTTCGAAGGGGGGAAGGGGGGGGGTTCTGCGAGCACCACCCTTGTTGTGTATTCAGAGCTATCCGCTGGCGCACTTTCGTCATCACCTTTGGGACGGGCCTCGTCGGGAAGCGGGTGATGCGCGGCAGAGGGCCCGCAAGATCTCGGGGGCCTCCCAAGGCCTCCGGGGGCCTCCTGGAGACTCCGAAGGCCCCCAAAGGCTTCTAGTAATTCCCGAAAGCCTCTGGGGTCGAGGACCTCCGAATGACTCCGCGAGCTGGGTCTTTCGGAAGGGGGGCTGGCGGGCGCCCGAAAAACTGCAGAATAGCAACCGAGTGCAAGGTGTTTGGGTGGTCCTGGAGACCATCCCCAAATGGTGTCGTGATATCTTGGGGCGGCCGGAGGACGCCCAAAAAAACGCAGAACAACTCATTCAAACAAAGCTGAGCATGGGGTCTCATCCTCAGGGGGCCAGGGGAACACGGGAACCCTGGAACAACCAATGAAACAAAACCAATCAGGAGCCGCGAACGTTTGGATTTGCAGTCCTGGGGGCGCCCGAGGCGATAACTCTTGCGCGAAAAAGGCTGCGGAAAGGGTGGCGTACCAGGCTCTCGTTTAAACTTGCTTAAGCCCGCTCTATCTACGGTTTCCCTCAACACACCCTCGAGGTCGCCAGGTCCACTCTGGGGCCAGGCCTCGGAAGGAAACGCCATCTGAAACAGCGTCTAAAATGGAATTGGGATCGCTGGGCCACTGAGGCCCGTCTCTCCTCAAAAACTTCATCCTCTCACACAGGCAGGCATCCTCCTCATTCACTCCTTTTTCTCACCCGCCTCGGCTCAAGCCTCTGTCTCTTTACGAACGCACCAGGCCCGCCATCCTCGTGAATTTCTCCAGCTTCTCTTTGGGCATCGGCTCGGTCATCATATCGCCCAGGTTCTCGCGAGTGCCGACCATGCCGGAACACTATCGGCCCTGTTCGCGCCACTGCTGCAGCGCCAAGAAGCGGATCTCCGCGTGCTTCATCTTTCCTGGCCCGCGCTTCTTCACGATGCGCAGCGCACTGCTCCTGTCGCTCATCGCGAGCGGCGCCGTCTTTCCCTTCCACTCCTCGAGCAACGACGCCAGTCCGAGAGTCCCAAAGCCTCCGCGCCCAGCGCGCATGACTCGCTCTCTGGCGAGCTCAACGCCACACAGCCCTGGCGTCTGAACCACGACAGGACGGTGCACCCGCGGTACTTCAGGATGCCACCACTCGTCGAGATCCTGCCCGTCTCATCATCGGCTCAGTCTGCGCCCGCCCAGCACTCCACTGCAATGCCTCCTTGTTCGGAACCACCTGCATGGTGTAGTCGCGCGCACCTGCAAGGTACCGCGCCATCTTCTTCAACCGCCTCAGGTCCTTCCCCCTTGGTCCTGACATGTCCCGGCTTAGAACTCCAACTCCGCGTTGAGTGTCAGGACGGCGAGGTCCTGTAGCGACTGTGCTCGTCGCTCTCCATGCGCGCCTCGCCCATGGTCTCGG